CCCGTTTTTGAGATATTTGGAAAATTATTAAATCGATTTGGTTCTGTTTGTGTGCCGCAAAGTTTTAAAAAATGTATTAATCAAGCTCAAATTTCATATTTTAAGCGATTACAAAAATGGCGTAATTTTTTTTTAAATTTTCTTTGAAAACGGAAGAGCTACCATTGTGATTTTTTAAATTTTTTTGGAGATGGCATATTTTCAAAAACTATATTTTTTTATCAAAAAATTTGTATGTGAAAAGTTTCAAAGGAAACAAATTTTAAAGATACTTTTTTTCATAGAGAATTTTGATGTGTGTATGTGTGATTTTTTTTCAAAATTTTTCCTGGCCCCGTTTTCGAGATATTTGGAAAACTATTAAATCGATTTGTTTTTGTTTTTGTGCCATAAAAATATAATAATCAAGCTCAAATTTCATATTTATTTATTATTTGTGTTTATCCATCAACCCTAAAAATTTGAAACAAATCGAACACATGAGGTCCATTTTGGTATGGAACGCCCCATATGCATACATAAGTACAAGTGGATGTACATATGTAAGTTTTTTCAAAGTTTTCTCATTTATATGCAGCGCAATTTCTGCTACATTAATTTTTACTAAAATATTTGTGAAATTTTTAGTATGCATCTTAAGGGAAATTGGCCAGCGCAAATTGAAGCAATAACAACAATTTGTAAGCATGTACTACACATACATATACATATACAGCTTGTAAACAAAACAATTGGCAATTGGCTACTTCAAAGACGAGTGCAAAACAGGTCAAATATGCGGCAAACTATGAAAGTCAGAGAACCATTGTAAGAAAAGTTTTTGCTTTATTTTTGGCTGTGCTAAACAGGAAGGCGAACGCAAATGGTTATTGTGGGCGAATGATTGCATGCATAGCTTACTGCAGCAAGCTTGACACATTGCACATGCTTAAGTGAGATATCTGTTTGCGCATTCGTTTGTTGCAAGATATCTCCATGCAGATATTTAGCATTCTCAGTTAAAATTAGTATATACATTAGGGCGGGTCAATTTGTATGGGAGATTTTTTTTTTATGTACACTTATCGGTGCTTCAAATTTTTAAGGAGCATTTCGGTTTTTTTTTGAGACTGTTGGCAAAGTTGCCGTTTTGATCCAATCGGAGAGTTTAAGAAATTTTGGAAGTGGGTAGTATTTTTTGAATAAGAAAGATGTTTTCAGCAGGGACGGAAAATAAGAGTTATTTTCAAAATTTTAATTCAAAAAGTCAGTCGGAAAGAATTGGTCTTTTTAACATTTGTATATAGCAATGTGATGCTTGTTAGCCAAGGAATGTTAATCCTATATGATTTAGTTTTTTTTTGTTTACTTTTTTTCAAAAAAGTCAGCAATTACCGTTATTTTTTGACTGATAGTTTTTCAGTCAAAAGTAAAAGTTAAAACTTGACTTCTATTTTACAGTCAAATATAAAAGTTAAAATTTTAATTTAATTTTTTCGGTAAATTTTTTTTAAAAGAAAAAATATATGTACATAGTGATGTTTTTTTGTAATCAAGGCAGATTCGAATATGCGCTCTCTGGGAAGACAATACCTGTACTATTTGTTCCATGTGTTGGTACTATATCCAAGCATGGAAACTTATATATTTGAATTTTAAGAAATTAAAGCAAATAGCAAAATCGACTAAAAAGAGCTAACAAGGGCTAAAAAATCGGCAGCCCGCTAAACCGAATTTTCGAATCCTGCTAAAGCTAGCCGGAAAACGGCTAAACGGGCAACACTGGCAGGCAGTCAATTTGCGCTTGTTTTTCATGCAGTAAGCATCTCATGTGCAAGTTGCTTTGTTTAAATGTTGTTGTTAAAATTTATCCGCTTCTGGTGCCGTTTACCTCAGCGTTTTCAAACACAATATAAATTTAGCAAATATGACAGGTAAAATGTAAAAAAAACTACTATATTCGCCGCCTACTGAAAAAGTTTAGCAAATTCGAATAGCCTGATACTGTTTCCGCTCTCTTTTACCATTTCCTGTTCATGAAAGGTATAAAAACCAGACTGACTGAGCAATATCAATAAAATGTAAAGAGCTTTCAGTTGCTGTAAGGATATCCTTACAAAACCAGTAAAATCTCCAACAAACAATGCAGCCCAACCAAATTCAGTATGAGCTTATCGCTCAGATATTAAGTAGTTGATTCTAAGAGAGATGTAGATATTTGATGCTCTGTTTTTTTTTTTTGAGCCGACATCGAATCTCGACGAACATTCGCATACTCACCCAAATTTCCTGCGATAAGGGATCCATGAAACTGAATACACCAGGCGTCTGCTTCACTGGTTTCTTGATCATTATTGAAATGCCCAGTGACATGAATGGTTTGCTGAAATCGATGACACGCTCTCGTTCGGCGGTAATAGTCATGGCAGCGATTGCAATATCCGCTTCCTGCTTGGATACACATTGGTACAATAAAATAACGCGTATGCGACAGCAATGGCAATGACGATGAAGTTGTTCGATTTCATTGTTGGTGTTTTTGTATTTGTAGTTTTTGGTTGTTTTTGTTTTTACGGTAGTAGGCGCATTGCGAATTCGGCGCATCGAGCAATAAAACCGACCGTCCAACGATTACCGAAACGATAATCGTTGCCAAAGATAAAGTTAGCACGGCAGCAGTCGTCGTTTAATGTGCGGTGATGGCCCGCGGCAGGGAGTTTGGAGAAGAAGAGAAAAAGCAATAATAAAGAAAACATTTTGAATGCGTTGCCAAATGAAAGTGTTCATGCAATCGGAATAAATTCGTGTGCAACCAATGTGGCAGCAAACACGTGCGTTGTCCGGCTATAGCGCTTAACTATATGTAGGTGTGTGTGTTTGTATGAAGTCGTACTCACCCGTCGCACCAGTTCACCGACCATACCATCCCAGCCACCGCGCACCGTTGGATTCTCTGAACCGTAGGTACCATCCTTGACCAGACGCAATTCATCTGTGTGGGTAGCAGCAATTCATGTGAGACGATCGGCCAGCGCAATATCGAACGGGGCAGCCAAAGGAGCAGCAACAACAACATAAGTAGTGGCCGTAAATGCAGTGGTGTATGCAAAGTAAGAGAAGAAAAAGTAGAGTAAGTTCAAATTGGACTTTGGGGTAAAAGTTTGTAGGCATACAAATTAAATGGTTGTGTGCTGAATAACTGCGCTATGAAATACTCAATGTAGAAAGTATCAAAGAAATTACGAAAAATCGGGGAATAATGGAAGATATTGTTTAAAAAAGAGAAACTACCAACTTAAATGGAGCTGCTTATATTTAAGACTTACACAAATTTGTATTCTTAAATTTACCATAAATTCTTTAGTCAAGAGAAAACACGACAATTTGTACGAAATAAAATTAAATAGATCAACCAAGGGTGGGTTGTAACAAATGCCTTACCATGGTATTTCATAAGCAAACAAATAAAAAAAATTCAACTTTTTCTCCGAAGTCATGCTATGCGCAGAAAATTACGCACTCGTGACATTCAACCAGAACTCTGGCATACACATTTTCAGTAGGAGCTAATCTAGCACTCCTAACGGCCTCCCAAATACAACGATAGTTGTGTAGTTCGAAGCGGAGGAGAAGAAGGAAAAAAGCATATTCTACATATTAAATCATACGCACATGATTATCTCGAAAGCAGCGGCCGGTACAGTAAGATCTAAGATGAGAAAGATGGCTACAACTGCAAAGAGGTGATCGAGGCTTATCGAAGACCAGCTCAAACAACAAAAGCCAACAAATGGAACAAAATGAATGGCGAATCTGAAAAATAAATCAGCTGGAATATGAGATGCCTGGAGTGACCGTAAATATCGCCAGAGAAAAGTGCCATTGGCCAAACGCCAGTACTGCGAGGAAGCTAGGGATCAATTTTAGATCGCGATTATCGAAGATGGTGCGGGATGTAGGGTGCGGCGAGCCCGTTTGAAAGAGCTGGGTCGAGATCGAGTCAAAGCTCTCTCAACAAATGGATTAATACCGATCCTAGAATTTGATTGAAACGAGTCTTTGGCAGGTTGTGGTAGTTTCAAATGCAAATTTAAATTCTTTACTACATTCTTAAGCAGCGATCCCACGATTTGTACATTTGTAGAGATTTGTCATTTTTCTCTGTTAGAGAGTGGTGTTTTTTGGGAAGTGGTTATTGAGCCGAACTCATTCCCGATTAAAATTTCTAGCCAACACCACTTTGTGACTGCCAAATGTACAAATGTACCTACAATTCGTGTGATCCCTGCTTTATGCAAATAAGTAGTAATTAAGATCTAAAAGATCCGAGACAGAGGCGTACATATAAGACCCAGACTGATACGTGCCACACAATGACAAAACCTAGAGATCTCCATTAATGACAGGGTGGTCATTCGCGCTGAAAAGTCTTGCCAAAAAGCTCATTCTACTACGTAAAGTCGACAATGGACAATGCTTCGAAATAATAACCGAAAAGCTAAAAATATTTCCATCGATTAAGACATCTCCTTAAGCTAATCCGAGGATACAAACCAGTGGTTAGACAACAACAAGCTAAATAAAAATGGTAACGAGATATGCATGGAATCCATCAAGCAGTTTGGTGACACGACGCTATGCGATGGCTCTTCATAGACCCAACTCGTAAACATTTTTTGTATCTCTAAATGAGGAGGCATATCAAGGAATCCAACTAAGGAGGTATATGATGGCTTAGAGGAAAAAATATTTTTAGAAAAGTTGTATTAAATTAAATTGATAAGATAAACTAAATATTGATATATGGGTGGCAAACGAAAGGCATTTGCGAAATATTTGCTTTGGAATTATTTTCAATCGAATTCCCACCTACAAAAATAGTAGAAACTTAAAATATTGAAATATTGTGATTTATCACTGCAATTTTTTTTCAAGTAACAGAAAAACAGTTTTTTTTTTTACCGAGCATGGAAGCATATGAAAGCTAGAGTATTCGAAAAAGAGATGTTTAAAACTACAATGCAGCGTTTTAGTCAAAACAGGATAGCAGACAGACAGCACCGCACTAATGGATAAACGATCAAGAAGAACTACTTATTTAAAAAATTTGCATGATTACCCCACAAGTGGGTTTCCTGGCCCAGCTGTGCCTTTTCTATGAAAACTGATCTGAGCTGTGGTATGCTTGAGTATAGTGGAATACTTGAGTTTTGCGGTCCATCAAACAAGGGGCTCTATTATGAAGCCATAAAGTATAACGCTTGAACATAGTTTAGAGAGTCAACTCAGGAAAAATAAACTCAAGTTTGTTACTTAAATTTTACTATATGCAACTTAAGTTTAAACTACTGTCAAGTATTAATGAGAAAATATGATTCAAGTTTGTTAAAAAAATTATATACGAAATGTACTAAAATTTAAAAGAATAAAAACTTTGCCCAGAATAAATTTTCCACTTTCATGTCTGCAAGACAAGCTGCTTAAATATATATAATATATATAAATATAATATATATAAATAGTATATATAACTATTACCGAAATTTTAAATATTAGTTTTCCATTTTATTCTACAAGCTGAAGTTGAAATATTGCACATATAATTTTTTGACTGAGGTTCATGCTTTTAGCTCAATAAATTTCTCAACGAACTTTTATTCAAGCATATTTCAACATCTCCTTTTCTACGCAATATACCCAAATGATTTAGTTTCTTCAACGCAGCGGCCTTAAAAAGCTATTATGCTCAATCGAAATTGAACTCTACTTGCACATAATTCACATTTTCAACGAATAAAATGCGCATAAAATCTTATTATAAGCACAAGGAGAGTCAGTTACGCCTTTAAAATGCATAAGTACAGACGTGCAGGCAAACACATTGTACATTAGGCATATGCCTTTTTTATATAAAATATACCATGGGGATAGGATGAGGAGTAATGAAAAACAAATAAGAATAAAAGATTGGTCAAAATTTTATACAAGGAAGAAAAAAATTTTACTGAAAAAAACATACATATGTATGTGCATAATATATACGACGATCAAAAAATGGTTTCAAAACTTAAATTTTTTCGGTAATTTGGAATTGCCCATATATACATATATATGAAGTAGTTTACGCCAAATTAGACCCTATTTGGATTTTGCATCTCCCGAGGAGGGAGGGAGTCCTACCTTTGTGATTTAATCTTGTTGTCAAGCCATTTTCGAGATATCGATTTTTGAAAAAAACTTCTTCTCTGTGAATTCCTATTTTCCAAAACACTCTTGGAATATGAAACTTAAAAATTTTCAAAACCATTCTTGTTAAAATTTTGATAAAATTTTAAATTTTTAATCAAAAATTATGGATTTTCGTGATTGGTTTTTTTAACTGTCACACATTCCGAAATATTTTAATGCCAAGAACATTGTGAAAAATTCCTTTTTGTGAATTCTTATTTTCCAAAACACTTTTGGGATATAAAATTAAAAAATTTTTAAAACCGCGCTTTTTAAGACTTTGATAAAATTTTAAATTTTTAATCAAAAATTATGGATTTTCGTTATTTTTTTTTTTTTAACTGTCATACATTCCGAACATTGGAATAACTTTGGGTTTATATTTTTTAGATTTTTTGTTTTGAGTTATGCATTAATTCAAAAGATACATAAATACTACATTGTGGAGTAAGAAATTCCCTGCCAAACTACAGTAGAGGGCACTACACTACGACTAGAAAATATTTTTTTTGACGACCTTCGGTTTTTTTATTAATTTTTTCAAGTCGTTTTTCAGATGTCCATTTAACAAAAAAAAAAAAAATTCCAGTTTTATAAATTGCTATAATTTTCTCTATTTTTCTTTTTCGAAACACTTTTGTAATATATGGTTGAAACAATTTTCAAATATGTAAATATTTCAATAAATTTTTAAATTTTGGAATTTTTTCTACAAAACTATCACTGATTCGGATATATTTTTTCGAATTTGAAATAAAAACCCAAAAAATAAATAAATAAACAAAAAATTTATATGCCTAATGCACACACATACATACATATGTAAGAGTAAAATATACCTCAACTGCAGTTAATAAGATTTTCATTGCACTGCTTTCATGAGCACATAATTCATATGAATGTAAGTACATGCTATACAAATACATACCTACATATAATAAAAGAACACACATACATAAATGTCATGGTGTGCTTCAAATGCACTATTCTACGAATACTGTATGTACATATATACTCACAATTGATGCCCAACTTCTTGGCCAATAAATCGGCTAAATCCTTGCAGTAGCCCTCGAAGCGGTCATTGCCGTCCAATTGTTCACCAATACTGGGACGCTTCAACATGATGTACGGCTCTTCGAGCAACGTCGTTACGACGTACGTGCGATTCTTCTCGATTTCGACATGTGGCCGCAGCCGCACATACTTGGCGGAGAGCGGTTGAAGGCCACCGTCATCACTCCATTCGGCCACCTTCACCATGGCGCTGTTGACAGTCATTTCGACAACATGCAGTGTATAGTTTACACGTCGGCCGTCATCGTTGAATTTAATGTCGCCGGTGAGACCTTCGATTTCCACCTGACGACGTGTTAGTTGAGGTTGAAATATGCAAAAACAAAAAAAGACAGGACAAAGAAGAAGAAGAAGAAGAAGAAAAAGAAGAGAAGGATGAGCATGAGCGAATTTCTGTAATGAGTTTGCCGGTAGTGAACTTTTATACGAGTGTCTGTGTGTATGGGTGTATGCATGTACATAAGCATATAAGGACACTACTGCAATGTTCAGGCGAGTATGCGAACTTATTTAGGGCGAATCTGAGTTGGCGACAGACGTGATTCAGGCGAAAGCGATTTAATGATGCAGAATTTAATGGCTGATTTAAATTGCGCAGCAGTAGAAAATTTAATTGCATCGATGACGTGGCGTATAGGTAACGTGAGCAGTGAAAACTTTCTCAGCGTATGCGCGCGCGTGGGTGAGTGTACCACGTCCTATAGGTTGGCGCACGTATAAATGTATGTATGTATGTTTGTTTGTAGTACCTTTGTGTCCCTGAAATTGTGATATCCAATTAAATGCTGTTTTTGTTGGCAATTACCCACACAGCTTATTCATTACACAGTGACTTGGCATTGGCGTTGGCGCTTCGCTCAGCTCAACAAGTACGGTTGCCGCCATTACGTAATGTATATTTGGTTGCTTTCATAACGACTGTGTTAGCCGGCTGGCTGTGGTTTGGTGTGTGGGTGTGTGTGCTATGCACGATTTTCCGCTCATGTGCTACTAATTTTAGCTCATTACTCAAGCATGCATCATTGCGATGGCATGACGACATATCGATGTTAACGGGCTTTGCACAGAACAAGAGCGTGCATTTTTGGATAGCCGAATGCTATTGAATGTGGATGAAGTATTGGATCTAAATGAATATGCTATAGACAATATTGCTTTGAAATTAGTTGGAATTCATTCGAGATTTCACAGCTATGTACGTAAAGACCTTTAATTTGAACGTTTGTGAGCATGTAAATGATAAATCCTACGATAGAAATGTTCTAGCTAAAGCTAAAAAAGGTTTTTTCTTAACAGCGGTCGTCCCTCGGCAGTCATAAAAATCGGCTTCTCATAAAAATACAATCGCCATTCGGAGTCGGCGTAAAACTGTAGGTCCCTCCGCTTTGTGTGACTACATCAAGGCGCACGCCACAAATCGGAGGAGAAGCTCGGCCAAACACTAACATATGTGTAAGCGCCAATCTATTATTATTATTAAAGCCTTCATTCTCTGTGGAGAATTCATGCGTACCACATATAAAAATCGACACTAAACTAGTTCGCTGAGGGAAAGATTTCTCTACAATTTTGTAGGCCATCTTGTTGACAGATGATGTTACATATATTTTCAATACAACTATACTTCTCATAAGCATGAAATTGTATTATAACTTTGGTCTAATAATTGCCAGTACCAGAAGAATTTCAGATAGACACAAAAGCATACCACACGGCGTCTTTCGATCTGTTCGCCTGCCCATCTATTTGAATGCAAAAAATTCTCTCACAAGGGTGGGACTACATATTNCTATGCACGATTTTCCGCTCATGTGCTACTAATTTTAGCTCATTACTCAAGCATGCATCATTGCGATGGCATGNTTAGTGGTCCCATGTTGCTCAAGCCAAACGGCAATCCGTGTATTCCTGAGGAACCCACAACTTGCGCAACGGCCTGGAGCCCTACATACTCAAACAGCCTCCACGACTCATCGCAGCTTATTCCAGCATCTCCCAACTGCATATCTTTATACCTACCCCTCTCCAGCTTACGTGTGAGGACAAAGCGTACCCAGTGGCCGTTTTTATTAAAAATAAATTGCAGATTCCGATTCTTTGTACCAGAAAACACATCCAAAAAGCTTTTGATGGTTTGAATATTTGCACTGAAATAAATTTTAATTGTTTTAAATGCTGCTCTGAGACCACCAACTACAGCTGAAAAAAAAAGAATATTTTTCTATACCCAATACTGGATTTAAGAAACACTTGGTTTTATCTATTCCGCATACGACTGCCGAAAAGTGTAATCATTAAACAATTAACAGTGACAAAACAAATGACCACGTGTTGAGTTTTTTTAATATTCATAATTTTTTCGAGTTCTTGTTTTTGCATTTTTCTATAAAAATGTTGTGCAAGCTTTAAAAGAACCAATAAATCTTAGTTTCAAACATTATAAAAATTTTAAGAAAATTCAACAAATCTTTATAAAAAATTAAACTTTTAAATATGAATATTTAGAAAATTTTTTTCATTTAACTTTAGTGAAATGTAGTGAAATATAGTGCAATTTTTAATTGGCTAAAAAATTGCGTTGATTTTTGAGAGTTTTTTTGTGACAGATTTTTGTACTTTTTTCAATATAAGCATGAATTTCATATGAAATAAAATGCGGGAGACCGTTTGCACCAAAATTTCAAAATGATAACGCCAGTTTTTGTAAATTGCATTTATTATCATTATATAAATAGGCAATCATGTTTCCTTTACACCCCTT